GAGCAAGGAGGCCATGAAGACCCCACCAGATGGACTTGAACCAGTATCCAGTCTACAAAGAGGAGGCTCAACACAGAGGAAACATTTCCTCAGTGTTTCCAAGCAAAGCCAGCTATGGTGGTGCAAGACCTTTGATTTATCTTCACATAGACGGAACTGGTAAAAGAAAGGAACCAGGGGCTCCTCCCAAGCCCGTGTTACCCCCTGAGGAACAGATCCTCAAACGGCCTTAAGAGTAAAAATAAATCGTTTTATCTGGGCCAACTGTAGAGTCTTAAACACCCAAAAGGAAAGTATAACCAAAGATTAATGTGGTCAATATAATTTTTAAGAGTCCATGTCCATATGTATAGCTTAAGGCTACATAACAAGAAACAATGCCAGAGAGGAGATACCTTCCTTTGAGTTGCTGGCCTAGGTGGTGCAAGAGACTCCCAGACAGTAACCCAGCATAGAACTGGAAAAATGAACAGCAGACCCCAATCTTATCTAAAAGAATATTGACAACTGATAGTGGCTAGATGAGGAACAGCTGATGTTCCTCAAACAAGGATCTCTAGATAGGCTGACTAGATTTAGCAGACGGACAAGCACTGGAGAATGGCTGGGGGGTGTGGACAACACGGTGGACAGTAACAGGGATGACAGAGTATATGGGCTCCAGTATGTGGGAGAGGGGTGGCTATGGGAAGGTGCCATTTGGGAAGTGCATATATAGATGAATAAGATTGTGTGGGATGTTCTGTATGATATATGTACAGAAAAATCAAATAAAAAAAAACATTTGAGGTGGAAGCATAAAAATTTACTATATGTTAAATAGTAGAGGAGATAAATATTACCAGTGAAATCTACCTGATGACTTTATATCCATACTCAGGTACCAAGGATCCTAACTGACTGTGACTAGTACTCATCAGATACATAGAGATTAAAGACATATGTGCAAACATCTAGCTGTTAGTAGCATTAAAAATGTAGGAAACCACATATTTTAAATTGAAATGGATATAGTCAAAGTGGGAAATTGCATGGAAATGTCTCTCAATTCCACAAAGATCCACACTTGCTATTTTCCCCAGTGTAGAATGATTTTCAGATTTCCAAAATGAACTTTTCTATCACATAATTTTAAAATTCATTTATTTAATTAATTT